CCAATCCTCAGATGTCCAGTGTCTTTTCTCGACACCACTGAAAATGAAGTCTTGCATGTCGGCAGAACTGAGTGATTTTCTTACAGGCACCAAAACTATGCATTCCTATCCCTCTGCAATTCGCTGCGCATAGTTCTAGCTGAAATTTGTTGGGAAGAGCCTTGGTTGACGATTTGTGATAGTTGAATCCGTGTTCTGCCGTACAATTCATCGGAGATACCGCCGATCACTGTCTTTGAAAACTATGCTCGAACTGCAGTTACATTTTTTAGAGAAGGATTCGAAATCGATGCCCCACTAAATGTGCACCAACAATAAGCCCCTTTTTTCAAATGGTGAACGATCTGCCGCCTTTTTTCCCCATTTACTTCATTCATCATGAAAAGCACTCTTACACCTTACTTATACTGGCATTTTAACCAAGTATAATCCACATCATAGAAAAAATTTGGATATTTCATCCCTAGCATGCATTCAGATGAAAATCTGAAAGGTTTCTTATTGTGGCCAGTGTGTGTATTATTTATATTATGCAACATGAGGCAGCATTAACATGTGGAGCTGGGAAGGCTTCTAATGATCACCTTTCTCTCTTGTGAGAGCAGGATGCACTGAAATTTGATGTCCTTATTTTTTAGAATGGTTATGAGTTTTGTAGACAAGTGGATCATCCACGTTCAAGATATAAGCAATCATCTTTCCACAATACTCAATTTTGTATGTCTTCTTCTCAAATATCATTGTATGGATGTCCTTCCAGCTGAATCAGGAGCAGTGACTTTGTGGAGGTTTTTCCTTGGAGAAAATGGACTTATATTGGAGTTACACATGATTCAAACCAAAATACTTCTTTACCGCAAGTATTTAAGTTCAGAGGTGTAACATGTTGTGCAGAAAATATTCTCAACAAGTTATCAGCTATGGATCAAAGCACACAAGAATACTTAGAAACAGAAGTGCATGAGGAAACATTCAGAAAAGAGATGACTTTAATTTGTAGTCAGACCTTGCTATGTCACAAAAACTAGTTTGGGCATTAAGCTTGAAGTTTTCAACTTTGTGCCGACTTGATATAAGAGTCGGCCAATCAGAGCATATACATAAAACCTATTGAGAGAGAAAGCTGTAGACACATACATGCATGCACAAATTTAGCTTCTCTAATTGGCTATGGCTTAGACCCTCTCTCGCAGGTGTGAATGGAACTCCCACATTTTGTGCCTTATGATTATGCGTCTATGACATTTATACCATCATTGAACGGAGCCTTAGGATGGCATACTAAGAAGATGCACTGTCTTGTGGGGATAAGCAATTTATACTCCTAAGCCTAAAAAAAAAAACTTGGAAAAAAAGATCACATGACTTAAATTTGTTGTCTAATTGCTCTAATTTGAGGCACATTACGAGAGGAAAGCAAAGGTAGTAATCAGAATTATTTAAAAAATTTTATCCTTATATTTTTCTTAAAAATTCTGTAAAATAATAAAATTTTGGTTTTCCTCAAATAAATATATATGGAAAAAAATAATAGCCACATAATCACAGATTTCATTTTGTTATATTTTATTAACAAAATTTAAATTATTAAAAATCTCTTTCATGAAGGGAACATAAAACATCATGAAAACAATGAAAAAGAAGCAATATTTAAAAAAGATAGTAGGCTTATTGATGAGGCTCCCATCAAAAGAATCGAACCCCAAAAATATTTCATTTGCTTCAGTGTCCCGTCTGAAAATTTCACTGATTTCAATGAATATATTTTTAAAAAAATCTTTTATTTTCAAGTTCTTTCATGCAAAACGTCCAAATTTGGTACAAATCAAATTCATCCCCCTCTTTTTGATAGCTACAATATTATATTTAACAGTTTTAATAGCTATCAGTATGTAAACAACATAATGTAACACCATAAAAGAAAAACATAAATGATGACATTTTAATTTTGGCATAGAGAAATACATATTTACCCCAAAAGAGAGCTTGTATTTCTACCTTCTACGTCAGAGTCAATAACTGAAATGTCCAGATCAGAACTGAGAAGAAAAGAACCATAATTAGTTTAATTAAGATACAATAAACACACGACCAAGTATTAATTTGAGAGTCAAGCAACAAAAATCAGCATCATATTTTGAAATATTCACTATTTGAAAATATAACGCTGATTTTGGTTGCTTGACTTCTAAATTAATACATAATTAGTTAACCATAATTAAGTAAACTGTGTTTCAATATCATGCACAGCTAATATCTATTTTAAAAATAAACCAACTTACCTCAGGAAAGCCTGGTTTGTCTTAGGAACATTAGCTGTAACTTCTGGCGTAGAAAAGTCAAATTTTTCACTTCCGGACCTAAGAATGAAAGAAATAAACTGCTATAAACATAATTAAAAAAAAAAAAAAAAAAAAAACATGAATAAATAAATAACACATAACAAATTTAAGCATTAAGCTATGTATGACTACCACCCATCTCAGACAGTGCGACAGATATTGCTGTATACTGTTTCGCCATACCCTGTGTAGCTATTATATCATGCTGTATAACCACAGTTTAGAAAAATTACAAAATGTGTTATTTATATCTATCTAAAATGGTACATTACTACATGATTTGTAAGAATAAATTAGAGGGCTCTGCGAATGAAATTCCTTCCAATTAAAAAATGTAGGAATAAAGAAAATGCAGGAATTGCAAATGCAGAAATGAAAAAGGGATTATATTTTTTTGTACAGAATCCAGATGACATATTTTTCAACATTTTAGAAATTTCAATATTAATTTTAGGGGCATAAAATATTAGGCCCCTAAAAGCAGAATATAGTTTTTTAAATGTTCAGATAATCTTCTTCCTATGAGAAGAATTCCTTTGAGAAGTACACATCTGAACCACAATTAAAAAACATGTACAAGAACAGAGCTGAGGACTTCTGTTTGCAGAAAGTCTGTCACATAACATATGAAAAGTTTCTTATTGGTAGATTTTTGATCAGACAGATATTTTAATGTTATACAGAGAAAGCATTCACTCCCTTTATCGACTAAGAGATAATTCAATTTGGACAATGGCAAAAAGGCTAGAAAGCAAGCTGAGCGTATTGGTCCCATTCTTGGCACTAGTATGGTTTACGCTCAAAATACACAGCAGATATTTTCTAATTACCTGCATCCCAATATCAATTCAATTCAGCTTTTGGTGGAATTTACCATTTGTGACATATTTTTCAAAAACTACACTTCACAATCATGCATACATGACAAATACACAGAACCATAAAGTAAACAAGCAATAATATATATTTATATATAAATTTTACTAAATGATCATAAAATGTTCCAACGCTAAAAGAAAGTTTTAACATCCAAGTAAATGACATAATAAAAAAAAAAGCAAGTTGAACAGCGAGCACATGAATGCAATGTGCATACACCTGTTAAAATATACCATAGGTAATGACAGGATTTTAATTAAATGAACTAGGGAAGGGAGACAAAGCATTTTCGTAGCAAACATAAATGACTATAAAGTTTCCAATAATACATGTAATGATGGTGAATTCAATTTAGATCGCAAGAACATGCTCATACTTTTGAAAAGATTCAATTATTTCAGCAATTCCTTGTGAATTGGAATTTACCCTTTCAATATTTCCCAACAATTTAGTGTGAATGGAGGAATAAATGTTTATAAAGAATTGAACAATTATTAGCATCCCCTCATACACACACATACAAAAAAAAAAAAAAAAAAAAAAACTTACTTTGTAAAAAAATCATCCGGGCAATGATTCTCCTTTGACACAAGATGCAGTTGTATCAACAATAATTTCTGACCTTCAATAAAAAAAAAAATACGCATATTTTACTTCGGAATTAACTTACTACGAAATCATAAACACGAGGTAGTCGATATAAAGAATAAATTATTTCTCACCTTTCGAAAACATCCGCTTGTTTCGGAATCTTCCACATCTCGGGAATTTAATTTCATATTTTTTTCTTGAGCTCGACGTTTACGCTGAATTCTGGATCTTTTATTAAAACCAGGATGTTTTTTCGGTCGTCCTTGATATTTTCGCATATTTTTTGCTAACTGACCACAGTACAAATAAATGTAAACAAAACGAGTGCGGAATAGCAATGCAATAGGGTTGCCGTAAACGTCATTCCGCTGACAGCTGACACTGTTTAGTGAAAACTGTGTATAAAGGAATATATGAAACGCTTCTAAATATTATTTAGAAAAAAATATGATTTATAACTGATATCAAAATCAATTACTTCGTGAATTTTTTGCAGAAATAAGATTACAATGTTAAATTTTAACTCGTAGCGCCATCTATTGATGGCTTTCCAAACTACACATTAAAATTACGTATTTCAAACTAATTTTTTTAAAAATATAATAATTTAAGTAAATTTCATTTCAAACCTGATTCTAACATTGTGATTCGAAAACTGACCTATTGCTTTATATTTCTGCCAAATTGCACGCAACATAGTTTCTTAATTAGCGATTCTGCGTGTAAAAAAATTTTTAGTATTGTAATGCTGCTGTAGTAGACCACCTTAAAAAAGTCTCTATTCTTCACGCAATTGAGCTATAAAAAACGACTTAAGAAATCGAAACAAGCACTTTATTTTATTGAAGGAACTGAATTGGCAGAAATTCCATAGAATGCATAAAGAATGTAATTCTGATCATTTTAGCCAAATTCAAAGAGACATTTTATTGCACATACACAATAGTATATATATATATATATATGATGTACCAGCTTTAGTCGTAGCTTAAATTATCAGACAATAAGTTAAAAAAAAAAAAAAAAAAAAAAAAAAAAACAGGATCCATTTATTATTATTCAGTAGAAATAGCAGTTACAAAATCAGATATCCAGAGTAAATAAAAAGAATTACTAATAACTTTTTGTATGAATGTTTATGCATCGTGACATTTAAGAAAAAGCCCCGATTATTCTTTTGCGGGTCTTTTTATAGCCTCTGGAAAGGCGGAGCTTCCACGAAATGACGTCAGCCTCGTCAGCCAATCCAGTTCGCTTTGAATATCTCGAGAACATTCTATAACTGTACGTGTAGAAAAGGCGGGAAAAACAACTTGACTACGGGGCTGTAGATTTAATTCCACGTACTTTCAAATAAGAGACCGTCGCCATTAAAAATGAAATGAACATACAGTTAGAATTTTAAGTGTATTCTTGACTATGGAATTATTATACATATATATATATATATATATATATATATATAATTTATTTACTAAACAAATATTGATTATATTATCTCCTAATATTAATTTTAGTAGAAGTATCTAAAAAGAGTGAACCCATAGGTAGGAGGTTTAATTCCGAAAATTGTTTTAAAGTAACTTGAATGTAAATTGTTAAAAATGTTTTACGGGGATTTGAAGTAAATCATGAATAACAAAACTTCGAACTTTGAAAAAGAAATTAAATTAAAAGCAAGTAAATATTGCTATTGATCGGAAATTAGTTGACTTTTCAAGGGGAACAAACCAACTCCCGTTCAATGAACAATAATTAATAAATACGAAGGTGTTTCGTCTTTTACTCAAGTAATAATGGTGATGCCAAACTGGCAAATTAAGTTAGGCCAAATAGTTCCGTGAAGTGATGGTATTTAGAACCAAAATATTTATTAATTGTCGTTCATTGAACGGGAATTGGCTTGTTCCCCTTGAAAAGTCAACTAATTTCCGATCAATAGCAATAATTACTTGCTTTTAATTTAATTTCTTTTTCAAAGTTTGAAATTTTGTTATTCATGATTTACTTCAAGTCCCCGTAAAACATTTTTAACAATTTACATTCAAGTCACTTTAAAACAATTTTCGGAATTAAACTTCCTACGTATGGGTTCACTCTTTTTAGATACTTCTACTAAAATTAATATTAGGAGATAATATAATCAATATTTCTTTAGTAAATAAATTATTATTATCTCACTTTGCAGCTATTGCGCAAGTATTAAAATAACTTGTTTCGAACTAAGTGAATTTAAGATCATACAGCATTTGATATATATATATTATATTTTATTACTTAACACATGTTAGGCTTAGCAACGGTCATTTGCTACTGGGCGAGGCGAATATATATTTCTTTCATTTCAAAACTTTTGTTGCTCTAATATTACAGATTTTAAGAACTAATTATTTTTATTTTTAGTATATGTTTTTTTTGATCAAATTTTCATTTATTATTTTTTCATATGTTGATTGTTTCTGTTTACATGTTTTGCTTTTTGGACTCGGCCCGCTTAAACAGAAAATAATTTTTATCAGATTTTTAAACTTTTTTCCTGTTTATGATTTTGATGCTATAATTTTGCAAAAAAACATTTTTACTGGCCTGTATAGTTTCAAATTTTCATATATTATTATATTTTTTTCATGCCTTAGACGCTTGCAATTACATGGATTTTTTTTGGGGGGGGGACTCGAAGTACTCAGAATAATATTTTTTTTTTTTTTTTTTTTTTTTTAATTTTTTTTTTTTTTTTTTTTTTTTTTTTATTTTTTTTTTTTTTTTTTTAAACTTTTTTTTTTTTTTTTTTTTTTTTTTTTTTTTGTTTTTTTTTTTTTTTTTTTTTTTTTTTTTTTTTTTTTTTTAAAATTTTTTTTAAAAAAATTGAGCTTATTTATGATTTTGATGTTATAATTTTGCAATTTTTTGCACCACTTACTACGGTCTGTAGAGGTTGGACTAATAAAGACACAAATTACTTTGATTTATTTTCTGAGATTATTTGCAGTATTAAATTTTAATTCGTGTTTCTATTGGTTAGGGAACAGGTTGGTATAGATACTTCTTTTGTTGCACCTTTCAACATGCATATGGATTAGGCTTGAACTGTTATTTACTTTGTACTTATTCATTATATATATATATATATATATATATATAACTTTTTTTCAGATACAAATAAAGGTATGTATATTTAAATATCAAATCTGCATATATTAAGTGTTCACATAATTAAAATTCAATATATAACTATTAAACTGTGAAATCTTTTTAAAGATTCTTATTGATTTCTAAGCAATGCAAATATCTTTCTAACGGCGTCCTTTTCTTGAAACTTCTTTGCGTAGATATTAACTAAGAGAGATTTATACTATAGAAATAATATATATTGGATGATAAAAAATACAAATATGTCTAAATTTATTCTTACCTTCGCATATAAGAAATAGCTGACACTGCATTATGCAGACGCGTTATATTCAACATATGAGATATAACAGAAATACCAGCCCCTGTTTCAGACATCTATGAAACACATGAGAATGTATAAAGATACCATTATTTGAAAAAGGTAATCAAAAATAAATGATTTTCATATGTTATTAAAAAAAGGAAAAAAGGTGAAGAACTAATGAAGAACAATTAATGCTCATATTTTTAAAACAATATTTGATAAGCAGTTATATACATGCTAAAGTCACATAGATACACAATAGAAGTAACATAGTGTAAGAAAAAATTAGTTTAAATTAAAAAAAATTGAAAAATTAGCTGATTTTAAATTTGAGTACATTCCAAGCATATTTTTATTTCTGCGCATAGTTCTTCTTTATTTCTATATTTTAGTAATTAGGGGGCGGGGAGTCAGAGATTTTAGAACAAAAATTAGTACCATTTTTATTGTTTTAGCATTCATAAGGTAATGCATAATTTTTAAGTAACAAGTAATGTCCACTTTACATAAAATATGACAAAACATTGTAGTAAGTGTATCGTATGACTTCCATGGAAGCATGAAATGACGTTATGGAAACAATTTTGAATTATGTTAATATGTACACCACATGCAGATTTGCATAGAAACATGAATGACGTAATGATCACAATTTCGAATTATACACACCGCGTAGAGTCCCCGTAACTTAATTATGACGAATATATGAAAAGAAATCTAATTCTGAATACCTATAAAAAATGCCAGTTTTGGAAAGGTTTGTATTTAATAGAATTTTAAGCTCTTTCTTAGAAACATAATCTTTTGAAAATAATAGCAAAAGATGCAATCGTGTCTGTCCCAAAGAAAGTGTGGGAAAATATAATTTAAATAAATTTTTAAGTTAGGATTTTCGGAATTTATGAACAATCTATATAATCATATACAAAATAATTAATATTGATTATACTTTATACGCAATGGAGCCGTCCAAGAGTATTTCAGCTGTTGGTAGTTGTCTTGTTCCTAATTTGTTTTTCAGCCTTACCAGTTGCATATTGTTTAACTTTCCATCTTCATTTCGGGTTTCTAAGTAAAAGAGTGTCAATCCCTTTTTACCCTAGAACATAAATATATTGTACATTATAATAATGATAACAGAAATAACTTGAAAACACAGAAGACACTATTCACGTTTTAGAGTTTTTAGATAACACCCTCATAAAACGCAAATTTTTAAATTAATAATATTATTTACTTTGATATTAACACGTTTACCCACAAATATTAATATTATCCCTTTTGTCAACAAAAGGTTTTAACTAACACCACCATAAAACACCAATTTCTTAATTAATATTATTATTTACTTTGTCTACAAATATTAATATTATCCCCTTTTTTCCACAAAAATTATTACGCGGCTTTATTTTCGCAATTGTTGGTCGTATACATATACTTCCAGCGAAAAAAATTTTTTAAATGACGCAAATATCCATACTTTAACAATTTTTTTAAAAAAAAGTATTAATTTTATAAATATTATAAATTACTACATCGAATGAAAAACTAAAAAATGAAAATGCTCCTGAAGGACAACGAGTTCAAATTTTCAAATATATAACATGTTTAATAATTTCATGCACCTATTTTCAAGCTATGAAATTATGCATTTATTCTGAGAATTACTTAATTATGCATTTACAGTACTGAAATGCTCAAGTAATTGACTCTCATGCACGTAGAAGATGAGTCATTAAGTTATTTATATATATGCAATTATGTCTCCCAAACTAATTGAAACTTGCCGCTACTGGTCTTCCATGAAGTTCTAGTTTACAGTTTAACGTCCTTCACACATTATCATTTATTTTGCCAAGCAGATGTTCTAAAGCACGTCAGGTATTGTTCTATGTAGACTCTGTATGGCAGTTATGTCTTTATAACCAAATAATATTTTTGGCATCATTTATTATATTACTTGCTTCCTCAAAAAAAGTCGCAACCTACGTTTGAACATGCAATCATTGAGAAGGGATTAATTCGTTAAACATTTTGAAATTTTAAATTAAATTAAGCGATTAAGAAATTTAATTTAAATCAATTTAATTAAATAAATAAAACTAAAAATAAATAAATTAAATTAATAATAATCAATCAATAATTAAATTAAATTTTGAAATTTCAAAATTAATTTAATTAATTTAAATTAAGAGGCAAATTTAAACAATGATATTTAAAGTTTATCCTGGCTGTATAAAGCTGTGTAAAGCTTATATCTGTTGTTAAATGCCATGCGCATTAAAAATTTGGAAGCGAAGGGAGAAAAAAGTGTTTTTCATTTCATTTTCATTTTAAACGAAAAAAAAAAAAAAAAAAAACTTTTTTGTTAGATTCAAATATTAAAACAAGTCTATACAAAGTACCTCAATGCTTGTTTCACTTGGATGCTGTCTAGCTAATGTAAGCGCCATATTTGAATCTGCAGCAGAAGTAAACCATTTATATCCATACAAGTGGAAGAAGTCCTCATCTTTATCTTGAATAGCGATAGTTTCAGTTCCATTAGCTTCGAAAAAATAAATAAAGATTAAAGAAGTCACAAGTAAATTTTGTTTACGTTTTAAAATGCGTATAGCATTCAAGCTATTTTCTACTCTTGTTAGAAACTTTTATTTTAAAAAAAACTATATTTAAAAATATTAAAGCTATAATACAGCTTTATCTTCTATACCGCTACTAAGTATTAAAAACAACTATCATTACAATAAAATCCAGCGACATTCATTTGCACGAGTGTTTTACCTTTCTTTCTCAGCTTTCCTTTTTCGAATTTCTTTGACATTGTAGGATCTATTCTTTTTTAGCTATCATTAAAATGTGACTAGATCTACCTACGTGTGAATCCTTTCGAATTCTCGCACAGGTTTGAAGATGACCACAAACAGAGGAAGGGTGTAAAAGACCCTTTTATTGAAAACAATATGATTTGCAGACGGCACGAACTTACGTGCTTACAAACGCCGACCACTTGTCGTGAGAACTTAAAAGAAACGTAATACTAAATTTAAAGGTAAGAGAAGTGCAGGACTACTCAGTTCAATTTAATTTAAGAGGCTGACTGAGAACTTAACCGACAAGATAATAACTCGGCGGAAAAATGCGTAGCCGATAGTTATGGTTAACAACTGGAAGAATTAGCAACATGCGCTCACAATAGCGAAATCACGCTATGTTAAACATTTCGCTAAAGCAGTTTAAGTACTTTCGTTCACCCTAACTCATTTACATCTTGGCGAGAAAACGCGAGGGGAATAAAAGAAAACAGAAAGGACTCACAAATTAAAATAACTATTAATAGAAATAAATAAACCCCTACAACATTAATTGTAAAATTTTTCTTAAAATCTTCGTAAAGTATTGTATTGCTACTGAATTCAATTTAATTTTTTATTGAGTCAATTTAATAACTTCATTTTTATGAGCTTTATTTTTAGATAAGGAAGCGGTGAATTTTAAGTTTTCACAGAAGGCATGCTTTTTCACATCAAACTTTTAAAAATTACATAAATGAAGGAAAGCGTTATATTTATTCGAAATCTAGCTAAAAACTTTGCATATTGGTAGTATGAAGTACTGAACGGCTTATAAAATAATGAACTGCACGTAATATTAATTTTAAATTCAAGTATTTTTAGTGTGAAATGGAAATCTTTTCAGTTAAGTTCTACAAACAATTTATATCGGAGAATGGTAACTCAATTTTTCTTTGTTTATGCATATAACATTACGTATAATCAATTAATCAACCTTTGATTCATCTTATTGATGATAAAATTCGACTCCGGTGATACTGGTAAAATTAGTGATTCAGTCATTTTAAGTTTCTCTGTTACTTTAAAATAGCGATTTCAGGGTTATTTAAATAAAAGAAAAATGCAAGCTTTTTAAAGAGAAGATCTAGGAATATTTAACCGATTTCTTTGAAACTGACTATAAACTTACCGAAACAGGTTATGAAACACCTGAAGATTCTTAACGATTTTGCTACCGTGTAACCTAATCTAGGAATTTGAAAGTTTTAAAATCGAGATAAAATATCGTGGTATGTAAATTGCCAGACTTAAATACGCTGAAATTTAAGTTAATAATGCACTCGTCCTCAAAAAATAAGCAACAAACGTTAAAAAAAAAGGTACAAATGTAAAACTTGAAGTTAAAACATACGATTAACATATGAGGTAGAGCTTGCATCTCCAAATGAAAATAGGCAACCAAAATTAGCATAAAACGAACCCCACAGTCACACCACAACGCCTTAAAAAGGGACATGCAGTACCTATGCGTTAGTGCGGAAGCGGAGATAGTTCCGTGTAATCCGAGATAGCCAAAGCGGAAAGCATGAGCCGAAACATGATTTGCACGATGAAATGTGTTGGAGAGCTGTTGGGATGTTGCAGGCTGGTGCAAGACAATCAGCTATTGTGAGAGAGCTGAATGTGCATGGTAGTATCGTCAAAAGGCTACGGAATCGTTGCCAAAAGGAACAAAACCTCTATATAAGCCGTGGGTCTGGATGCTGGAGCATTACCACAACGGCAAATGATCACTTTCTGTTGCTATGTGGATGACACCGTATAAAATTAACAGCACGACAGCTTGCTTCGTATCTTTCTGCAGCTGCAGGACGGCCCATATCCTGCCAAACTGTTGCGCATCAATTGCACGAAAGTGCACTCTACGCCCGACGACCTCTGGCTTGTGTTCCTTTATCCCCATCGCATGTCAGAGCGCTGTTGAATTGAGCCATTGAACATCGCAGTTGGACACCAGAGCAGTGGGGCCACACATTTTTACGGATGAGTCGCGATTTAACATCCAGAACTATTTCCGAAAGGGAGTTATATAGCGAGAGCCAGAGACACGGATTCGGGTGCCAAACATCATCGAAAGAGACCGTTACAGTGGAAATGAAAAGGCTTACTTGTATTGGCTGGGGTAGCAACGAACGACTGCACAGGCCTCTGCCACAGCTGTCCGATATAGCAACGAAATTACACACACTTTTGTGCGTTCTTTTATCGCTGCAATGCGTACCGACGCGATATTAATGGACGACAACGCCCGCCCACATACAGATCGATTTGGCGCGGAGTTATCTGGAGAGTGAAATCCTTCCACATCTGCCTGGCCTGCTAGGTCAGCGAACCTGAATATCATACAGCATGTGTGGAACATTTGGGAAGACGGATAGCAGGTTACAATGTGCCGCCAGGCACCCTTCACGAGCTCTAACATGCATTACTACAGGAATGGGTGCTACTGCCACAACAAGCCATCATCCACACTATTGCTAGTTTGCCTAGCGGTTGTCAAGCATGCATTTCAGGTAGAGGGTATCATACCCGTTATTACTGTGATGTTTGCATTGCACATTTCTTCCGATTCATTTGGCCTTTCGATGTGAGATGGTCGTAATACATATGTTTTTGTAAGTCTTTGTTTTACTGCTTGATATGTGTTCTAGCAATGCCACACACCAAACTTTTAGATCAATTTCACGCATATCCATTACATAGTTTTTGTTTAATTCCGTGTTTTGCGTGTGTTGCTTATTTTGGAGCAGAAGTGCACTTAAACACAATAAAAAGGACAATCAATCGTTTCTTGCCATAATTGCTCCTGCACATATTCTTGCATCGCCTGCGCGGTAGCAAATGTAAAAATTTTGAGATCATATATGTTCGTGAAAAATTTTAGCAAAATATATTTGAAACTTACCTTCAAAGGAATAAGTCACGTGATGTGAGAACCTGTGAATTGGGTCAACATTTTTCGTTTTAGAACTTCTATGTTTCGTTTTCCATGTGATGCATATTAGATTATTATTTGATTAATAGGTAAGTAGTTATATTTATCTGAAAGCGTGTTAATAGTTTTAAATCACCCTGTATAGCAAACACATACTCACCAACGTCTGATCCACCTCTTCGCTCAGTCATCCATTGTCCAGAAGTCCAAAATTTAGTAGGATCTCTGCATGTTAGGTAGTTATATGCCTTTTGGAATAACTCCCTCTTTTCACTAAGGGACTATAAAAAGGAAGGTTAAATAATAATAATAATAATAATAATAATAATAATAATAATAATATAATAACGAACATTGCAATGATATATCTTACTCCCACATTTGTAAAATTTCTTCAATAGAATAAGTTTTAGACTAAATTAATTATAAAATTCACTCTGTTGTAAGACATTAGAAGAATGAATAAAATATTTTTATAAATAAGCTTGGTTAAGCTGTTAGAATACTTTTTTCTCTTACCTCTATCCCAAAAAATAAATAGTAAAATAAATAAATAAAGATTGCTTTTACTCAAAAAATTCTTTTTATTTACTTATTTATTCTTTAGAAAATAAAAGTAATATTGATGACAGAATTAATGATGATTAAATAATATTAATGATTTTTAAATCATAATTAATTAATGATTATTAAATTCACACACTTCGATAGTTTTAGCAGCTCCATCAGTCATAGCCACTGGACAGGAATACAAGCCAGATGATGGCGAATACAAATATAATTTACATATTTGATGCAGTCGACTAAAACATAAATACGAATAATTTAGCAATGAAAATCATGCAACAATATATAATAAAATAAAAATTCAAAGTATAGAAAAGGCTCTATATTACATAACAGGGCAGAAGGATAAAGTTAATACTTAAATACGTTAGCAGTATTAATTGTAAGTAAATTGACAATAAATTTGGTAAAATATAAACAAACCTCCAGTAATGAAGTTCACGTTTATAAGCAATAGCAATCAGACCTTCTTCTGCACTAATATCACGTTGCTTCTGCCAAGCACTGCAAGTTATTAATTCATCCACACGGACACCCCAAGCGTCTTGGGTACGTAAATATGGTAAATTTAGCTCACATTCCCAACCAAGATTGTCGATTTCATGTACAATCCTTGAGCCAAAGTTTTCAAGATCTTTACTGATTTCATTCTTTACCTAGTTATAAAATATTAAATGAAAGCGCAAAATAAATACGGTTTAAATTGCAATGCAACAAAAATACAGACCAGTATCTTGTTCTTCGTTGTATGTATTTGAATGGCCTGAGCTTAATGAAGACTTTTATCTATTTAATGAAACTTCCGTAAAAGACGCAGTTGTCAACTTGAAAGAATTTGTTTGAAAGGAGGGAACTTAGTAAAGGCAGAAATTACGTATGAAATCATGAAAATGAAAATAATAGAAACTCGAACTTCAATAACTAAAATCTTTAAATGTTTGTAACGTTGTATTTGCAGCAAATGCATAATTGAAATGTCTTCTTATACCGCATAAAATTACTTCGAGGGCCTCCAGTTTTTCATCTTTGATTTAGGGGAATTAAGTTACCTTCAAACAATTGCATTGGTGATATTACCAGCTATGCACTGGTATCTCCATTTTTGGAGATGTTTACATTTACTGGGTTCTTTTCGGTAGTGCTGCCTTTTTTTAGGTGACTACAATAATAATAAATAATAATTTAATAAATTTTTAGGTGACTGATAAATTTGAAATCAAATTTACACAGCCTTTAAAAATGTCAAAAAAAAAAAAGTATTTTACAGTATTATAATTGTTAATGAATTTATCACTCTACATTCAGCAAAGAAAATACACAAGAGTTAACTGCAGGAAAGAAAACATTATAGTAGAATATGAAATTATATGTTGTAAGCTACAGTAAAAGATACATAACACTATCAAACTAATAAAAATAGTTTATATATTTTTTATATATATACTTACTAACATAAGCAAAATATATTTTCTAAAACACTAAAAAAAGAAAATTGAAAAAGGGCATGAAAAATAATTTACCTCAGAAGGTACATGATAATCCAAAAATCGTCGTAATGGCAAATCTGAAAGAAAAGGGTTATCTAGCTTTGGTTTCTGCTGATAAAATTCTCCCTGCTTTGCTTGGCTAAAAGGAATCCAGTTTGGTTTAACATTTTCATTTATCTTCACATTTTTATTTGCTTCCGATAACGAACTGCACACACGTTGATTTAAGCAATTACACGTAGAAAAAGTCTCATCGCATGGAATTACAATGGGTTTACGTTGACTCAACACTTTGCGTAAGGAATAACGGTACATTTTTTAACTAGAAAACAAGACAAAAATTGAATCAAGACCCAACTATTTTGAGCAGACGACAATCACGAGGCATGCAGCGATAACGATATAAATTATCACACTGCAAAGGTGAAAAATGAGAAGCCCTTCTTACTTCCCGGTTGAAGCTCAGTTTCTAAAGTCTAAACGGCTGTGATACTTTTTCTTACTTTCATTGCGTTGACAACTACACTTTTCCTCACATTAAATGGTGTGCGTTACGTTGATAACTTGATCGAACGGTTAGCGGTTATAACGGTTAGCGCTGCTGGCTCTCGTAGTGTTGGAATCAGGTTCAAACGTGACCTTCGTGAATAGATGGCCTGGTCAGCTTCAAAGTCACGTGATTTGACGTCACGAAAGGAGTCTAAACATTCACCCTTCGCGCTTCTCTGTAGATACTGTAAACGAAGAATTCCTATGTTCGTTTGTGTGCTGTTCATTAACATTGCACTGTGTTTTTTCATTATTCATGTATTTTTTATTACTAAATTTGAGTTAAGTAATTTAAGTAAAGCAGTTATGCTGTTTTGATTAAGTTCACACTGGTAGTTAAGTTTACTTATTTCTTTAGAATTTGTTTATAAATATAGCTATCGACTTCTTTATAGAGCTAAAATGAATAAGTCTACTTTCATGCCTGCACGATGTTGCGTTTCAGTCTGCAAATCGAATTACGTTAAAAACCAGTGGATATATACAGAGATATTCAAGTTTCCAAAAGATACATTAAAACGGGATTTCTAGATAAAAAAAATTCCAAGTGAGCGTTGTAGGTGAGAAATATTTTTGAGAAGATGATATCATTTGGTACGATTATTTATCAAAAGATGAAGGCATTGCTGTTTGAGTTTGTAAAGGACACCCAAAATTATAAACAATGCTTATCCATGCATTTTTTTCTGATTGTCCAAAATACTTATCTGATAATCCGACATCTCCAAGGATGAGCACAGAGGAAAAAAGAGCCAATTCGGATAAACATATTTTTAATCAATTTTTGAAAAGACAAAATTGCATCTTTTGAGGATTTTTCTTCTTCATTATGGAATTAGCTAAACATTTCAGATGATTCAGATTTAATTTGACATAAAATGTGCTGATGGAAATTGTATTTTATTGCTCAGTTTTGATCTACAGCCTAAAGTTGGGAAATGTATCTAATTATCACTTCATATGAATACAGCAGTGTCTCTTGGACAAGAAGCTGTTGAAATGGGAGTATGTAAAATATATCAAATGGAAGTACTAAACTTACATTATGGACTGAATTTGAAAACATTTATAGCTATGCCAAAAGCATAGTAATTAAAAACATTAAAATCGAACTATGACTTACCACTATATAACTAGGAAGCATACGTTGAATAAAAATCATTTGAGAATCTTACTTGAGGAATAGAACATTTTATTTTGGAAAAAATTAAGATGTGTAATGAAAGCAAAATGGCTGGAAGGTGCTGGTATTTGCTTATTCGTTATTACATTATCCCACCAGCCACAGAGCGGTAAAATCGCTGAACACTGGTAGTTCCGACCTGGGTTTGAATCCTGGCGAAGGGGCTGGCTGCAAGGGCATTTTCGTGATTTTTCCCATGTATAACGTGTATATGAGCCAGTTTGCCTTAAAAAGTCCTCCGCGAAGGCATACCTCAGGCAAATATTCTAGTGTGTTTTGCTATAATAAACTAAATCAAGTCAAATCAAATCGTTATACATTAAGTAAGCTGCTTTTTATAGTTGCCTATGACAGTCAACTAATCTGCTTTCCATGCACTGACCATTTCTGAAAAATCCTAGGCCTGTTAAAGCTTGATGTATCAACGAACAATGAAGCTAATTACAAGTATGTAAAAGGTAAAGTTAAAAATTTACTGGGGCATTAGCAATTCGTGAATTTATATATTGATGAGGTTCGAGTGAAAAAAGGTTACATAGAAAGGTTAAAAAAATAATAATAATAATTGTCTTTCCTAAGAATCTTGAAAGTATTGAAGCATCATCTGTTCAGTCTTTTATGATTTCTTCTTTATTATCAGATTATAAAGATATCATTACATTAGTAATAATTCGCTTGCTGTAATGCAGCACAAAATTACGCTTTATTTAATTTATGTTGGCAAATTCCGAAGGGATTTAAGGAAATTTTAATTTTTCTGCGACTTTTGATCTCCATTTCTTTTTGTTAGATAATTACTGAAAGGAATAAAAAATACATTTGCATACTTTTTAAAAGCTTTGAAGTATTTATAGTTTTAAACCATTGGATATATTACTGATCGTTCATTCAAGTTATTCTTAAAATTAAAAACAGCAATAATTATTAATAAATAATTATATTGTGATAAGGTAATAAAAATCGTTTTTATGTCTTTTATTGGTTAAATAGTGTTTATATTTTGTCGGTTAATTATTTATACTTTGGAATCTTTTCATTCCATTTTCCTTCACATCTGCGAAAATAAACCTGCAAAATTTGTGATCAGTGAAATCAACAGTAAATTTTGTAAATATATTTTTCGGAGTGTTTATTAAAGAATTTTATTTTAGTATTTAGTGGAAGAAAGAACAATCAAACTATAAAGATTTATTCATGTTAATAAATAGCAATCTTTATTTATTTCAAAACTTTGTTTTTCAGGAAATCTTAAAATGTCATTACTATGCAGTATAAAATAATTGTACAAAATATCGTAAAACATTGGCTAGAAAATTTAATAAATATTTCTTAAAATAATACCTCTGAAGCTATCAATCTTAACTATAAATGTATAAACGACCTTTTATATACGTTTATCCGCAAATCTCTGAAAATTTAATTACTATGCATTATTTAAAACACAAGAATCTACGTAGGTTGTTTTTTTTTTTTTTTTTCCAACCTTCGATCGCACAGTATGATGGCCAGGTATGCGGCGGTTGGTGTTGGTGTGCGTAGTAGGCGACTGCGCAGCTCCCCCTCCACACGCTCTGTCAGTGGTGTATTCAACACGCCATTTTCTGTTGAGTTGCAGTCACGTAAACATGGCTGTCGCTATTGATTCTTCCACCAAGTGTGAATTGCGAGCTGTTATTCGTTTCTTGCAGGCAGAAGGGAACAGTGCAGCGGAAATTCATCGAAAAATGAGTCGAGTGTATGTAAACAGCTTTATGAGTGATGGCGTTGTTCGTGAATGGTGTCGAAAATTTAAAGATGGCCGAACTGATGTGCATGACGAAGGGGGTCAAGGACGCAAGTCTGTCGCTACAGATGACGTTGTTCAACGAGTTAACCAAGCGGTTAAGCAAAATCGAAGGTTCATCATAAGTGAATTATCGATGAAATTTCCGGAAGTTTCAAGATCTTCCTTGTACTCTATCGTTACTGAACAGTCGCGCTACAGAAAAGTTTGCGCTCGCTGGGTCCCACAGATGTTGACTGACGACCACAAAACTCGCCGAATGGTTTAAGCGTTTGAGTTTCTTGACCGTTACAATACTGACGGAGAAGAGTTTTTGAAATCCATTGTGACAGGTGATGAGACATGGGTTCAATATGACTCGCCCGAAACGAAACGACAATCATAACTATGGATGCACACAAATTCTCCAAAGAGACCCACAAAATTCAAACGAACCTTTAACAACCGTAAGGTTATGGCAACTGTTTTTGGGACCAAAAAGGTGTGTTGCTTGTGGAGTTTATGCAGCTTGGAACAACAATTAATGCAGATTCATATTGTGAAATTTTGCGACGCTTACGGAGAGCTATTCAAAACAAACGAAGAGGCATGCTGACTTCTGGAATTGTTCTGGTCCTCACAGCGCTCGTGTAACCCAACGGCTCTTTCAGCAATTTCAATGGAACATTTTCGAACATCCACAATATAGTCCCGACCTAGCGCCGAGTGACTTTCATCTGTTCCCTGAACTGAAGCAGTGGCTTGGTGGGAAGCGCTTCCAAAATGACGTGGAGCTGAAAGAAACCGTCACAACTCACTTCCATTCATTGGCGGGGACATTTTATGAAGAGGGTATTGCAAAGCTTGTTCACAGATATGACAAATGCCTCAATCGTCAAGATGATTATGTAGAGAAATAACCTGTATTATACATTACTTTTGGTAATAAAATCTTCTTTGTATATTCACCCGTCTTTTCTTTATAGCTCATCGCAGGTTGAAAAAAAAAAAAAAATAGCCCTCGTAAACATTTAACGAAACGCGCATATTCAAAGCCGAAGCAAAGTCGCGGAAGACTCAGACGCTTTCCGTGACGTCACTCGTAGCTAACCAGGCCATGTTATATCCAGTTGGCCGTGGTTCAAATCCCGGAAAAAGCTTAGATGTTTGTAAGTGATAAATGTCTGTGAAGTGACTTGAAATACTGGCGGGACTACTACTAAATCTTCTCGAAAGCTTTAGCGTTAAGAAAGGTGTGTGTGTGGGGGGGGGGAGATCTTCGGATCCGTCCACTGAAGTGTTGTTGATCAAGGTTGGAGCAAAACTCTTCCCCTTCTCCTGGCCGTAAAGGCGGTTGCCCCATGTCATGCATCCTGGGTAACATTCGCGGTCATAAGACAGCTAAGTGATTGATGGTTTCGGCCTTTTCCGGCGAATGCTTAATTAGCAGTGTGTCCTGTCGTTGGAGCAGAGAAAAAATATTTGCCAGTTTTTAAAATGCTTTACGTTATGATATATTTCTTTATTCTTAGTTTTTAGGACTGATTGTTTTCGATAATAAAAATTGTTTCGTAGAAAAATATCAAATTTTATTATGCATAATCTAGCGAAAATTCCTTCGAGTATTTAAAATTATACTTTTTTTAATCGTATCATTAAATTTGATAGCTAACAACGTTTTATGTAATTATGAAGTCTATCAGGACTGATAAAAACAGACACTAAAGACGAGTAATTCGACTCGGTGTTAAATACTACCGAACAGGCTGTCTGCATGCGTATTTTTGCGATTTTCCTCATGCATAACGTAAATACAATCAGTTTCTCTTAGAAAGTGCTCCGCAAAGGCATCATTCCGCTTAGAAAAGTAACTCTGGAGAGTTTTGCGATATTCAGTTAAATTTTAAAAGTACTGAGTAATAAAAGTAACTGTAATTATATTTCACAATATTTAAAGTGCAAGTCTTCCCTGCTAGACCTCTTACCATTAATTGGCCGAAATGTTTCCTTCTTTAGATGCACCTGTTTGGTTTGCATTCCAAGGACAGACTTGGTGGATATGGAAGCGTAAAATTATT